CACCTAAAGGTAATTAAAGCTGAGAGCAGTGCGGCCCCTTCTGGTCTACTTCTATACCTTGCTTTCGTCGTCCAGGCAGCCCCTGTTCTCTTCCCTTCTCTTACTGATTTATTTGTGATGCTGTTGTAATATTGTGACATCACTCTTTTTCGCTTATAACTGTCTTGTAGATGAACCGTTAGCCACATTGATAACTCAGTGAAACGGTACATTTCATCCCAATTCCCTCCCTTACTTTTCAATGCACAGATTGATGGATGCGTATGCATATATACATCAATAGTACCGATATCCATTTTTATATATTTATTTATTATTTCAATTAAGCTGTTTTAAATATATTTATCTGTTTTTTACTTATTGATATAATATGCTCATTAATTTATTCGAAACTCAAAGAGGCACCGCTTGCTAGACGGACTTGATACTTATTTCTATACTCTCCCTGCGTTACGCTGTAGCGTGCAGCCACCCTCCACCTGGAGATCACACGCCGAGCGCTTCGCTGGGCCGCAGGCAGATTCATCTTTGGGTAAAATACAGTCGCGGGGTGTTACTAATGAAGAATCTGAATCGTACTTTTTGCGCAATAAATCCAGTGAAGTTATTAAAAAAAGATAAGTGAGAATTGCTAGCGAATTTTATATTTTTGTATTTTCCCCGATTTATTCGTAAAATCCACTGGCGCACTAACAATCCCTCGTCGGATCTTCTCCTGGTGTAGCGCACCCCTTCAGGGGCTTACGGCGGTAAATCCCTTCTCTCCTCAAGCGTCGTTGCGAGCATGGTAAGGATGCCGCCGTCCCGTTCTTCTCGGTCCACCGTTAATTCAGTGTTCTTTCTCCCTTGTCTCTCCCCACACTGTTTCTAGCTAAGCTTCTTAACAGACATACTGATACACCGCTACAGCGAATAGGTTGACGCACGTGCGAAGCCACAAAGCCATCTGAAAGGAAGCCAACAAGCGACTGTTATCATCAGGTCAAGAGGTCTTTTGCTTTTGAAGTGAGCCTCAGAGACAATCAATTACTACACGATGGACCCAATCGCGAGGCATGCGGGCATCCCTCACCCGTACGGCGCCGAGGAAGCGGATCGGCAAACGTGGTGAATCAATCACTTGCAGAACCTCATGATAAAGATTTTACGTTATGTTCACAAAACAACCCACCGAAATCTCCGATTTTAGTGAGCAGGACATTCAATAAAACGACAACAATGTGGTCATAAAGACTTCATATAATATTCAACATCCGCGGTGGGGAATATGATCATTTAGCCGAATTTCGTCAGCCCGCCTACCAAAAGCCTGAAGTGCTCATACTACTGGACTGCTATCAAGGGTCTGTTCTACTGGAACGAAGCAAGTATTTTCGTGCGTTGAGACGAACCGGGCCAGCGATGCGTGTAGATGAAGCTTACCGTTTCAGAAGCTGGAGGAGTTTTGTTCCAATGGCCGATGCAATTCGAGGCTTTTGGTATTCCATAGCAAGCAAACCTTCTTTGTCAAGAGCATTTTTTAACGACTTGTAGGGTGTGATTATGCCTGATATTTGTGTATAGTGCGCAGGTGGGGTTGAGGGTAATGTGGGTGTTTATTCAGTGAAACTGCCCATCTTTTAACTTGAAATTGTCCTACGGTGTATGGGTGGCGATTTTAAAAACTCGAGACGTATGGAATACGAAATTCAGGCTCTAATTCTCCTGTATTTAAATCCTGATGTTGGGAGGTTTGCTGCCTGAAGAAATTAATAAATTCAAAGGGTTCTAAAGGCGTGGGGCGGACAATGCTTTTAAGCGTGAGGGTGCTGGGGGAATTAAACCGCTTAGGGCCATGTTTAGGGTACGTTTACTCTCCCCATGTAAAAATAGCAGCACCTGAGGGATATTTTGGTTTTCCAACCCCCGACATGGTACCATGCTTTTTATGTGACTTGCCAATTGCAATTCGTCTTCATGGTCTCGTCTTTTACTGTTCCATTCGTCCATAAAACATAATGGAAACTCAATAACGCACTATCAAAATCGACACCACGGATCCCATCCATACAAATAAAACGTTTTCCGATAAAGTAGGATTCATGATGAGAATAAGTCAAAGTTGCCTTCTAACGTCCGCTAGAAACGAGCGAGAACTCTACCAATCCGGAATACATTCAATCATTCTCAGCGAGCATTGTGCGGGCATACTTTCCTGTTGGATCGTAGACCGAGTCCAAGGTGTAACCCCAGCGTCTAGGGGTCCCATATCGGAAAGACATCCTTATTTGTAACTGTAAGGTTTTGATAGGGTGGATGGAATGGAGCGAAATTGAGGGCCCAAGGTTTGAGCGTTATAAATAGGTTGTAAAGACAGGGATGTGGTTGTTAAAAATAC